TATCGGTAATCTTCCTGTCCGATGAATTAATGATGTTTACATAGTTTTTAATTTTCTGTATCAACCTTCTTATAATTTTACGTTAACTCCTTTTTAATCAAGCTGTTGTAATCCTTTGGATCGAGTTTATAAAAGTTTATATATATATAAAATCAAAAAAATCAAAAAAAAAAATCTCCATAGACATGCAAACTAGACGAGGGTTAATACATCTTCCGTTTAAAATTTAGACACCCCTACCTTTCCCTGACTTGACATCTACGAAAGTAACTCTTATACTGATACTTATTATTAACACCCAACACCCGCCTACCCAACTTAAACAATTCGCCCTAGCTGTTACCATGGAAATTTTGATTTCAATTTTTAAAACACGTAAATTTCAGATATACGTTATTCCAAAAAAAATTTCGCTTGAAGATGGAACAGAGCTTTCTTTAACTCAATTTAATTTAAATAATTATATTGAAGTTTTCGGCTCTTGTTTTGAAACATGAGAGACTTCTTATGTAGCGTATGAATCATATTTTTAAATAAATAATTATATATATATATATATATATATATATATATATATATATATATATATATGTGTGTGTGTGTGTGTGTGTGTGTGTGTGTGTGTTTGTGTATGTATGTATGTATGTATGTATGTATTTAGAAAAAAGACAATAGGAAAACTATAGTTTTAGCCGACGCGTTTTGTTCAATGTAGACTTTTCAAGCAGAAAACGAAATTAATTTATTGAAACAATGTATCTTTGAATAACAAAGTGTCGTTAGCAACTAGAAGAATTTAGAAACGCTATTGTATATTCATATGGCCAACTAAAAAATTACGTCAATTACTTTAATATTTAAAGGGAATGTTTTCACATATAGAAATATTGTTTGTATTGTTGTGTTGACGGCTTCAACCGTTTTCTTTTGATTGCTTGATATATTTGCAGAGTACGTTGGCTTGGGAGTGCCGCCATTGAATATTATCCAATTCTTAATCTACGCTCCAGTTTTTTTCCCAATATCACTCTTCCTAACAGAATCACTACTCTCCCCCAAATACACAATTTTATATATATTAGATATAATTGTGTATTTAGGCTGCACGTCGATTTTTGAAATCTTCTAAAATCCATCTGATTATTGGATTTTCATAAATCTTTTCCCCTTTATGTAAAAGACAATTATTTTAAAGCAATCTCTCTTCAAAATTTTTAATGCCAAAGCTGTATATTTTATACAATAAATATCAACAAAATGTCGTTAACAACTAGAATTGAGTGTATATTCATTTGGTCAACTGAAAATTTACGTCAATTTCTTTATGTTTGAAGGGTATATAGAAATATTTTTTGTATTGTTGTGCTGACGGATTCAGCCGTTTTCTTTCAATTTCTTGATATATTTGTTGTGTACGTTGGCTTGGGAGAGGAGTGATTCTGTTAGGAAAGGTGATATTGGGGAAAAAACCGGAGCGTAGATTAACATTTGGATAATATTCAATGGCGGTACTCTCGAGGATTTTCCTTCTGAGTGAATTATTTTCATTTTTTTTTATTAGTGTAGCATTTATAAAATCAAAATTGGGGCTGAATTTATTTTTGAATTTATTTATTTTTATAAATGCTTAACTCATAAAAAAAGAAAATAACTCACTCAGAAGGAAAATCCTTGAGAGTGCCGCCATTGAATATTATCCAAATATTAATATACGCCCAGAGTTTTCACAATCTCACTTTTGCTAACAGAATCGCTACTCTCCCAAACCAACATATGCTGCAGATAGAAACGAAAATGGTTGAATCCGTCAACGCAACAATAAAACCAATATTTTTATACGTGAAAATATTCTCTTCAAAGATAAAGTAATTGACGTAATTTTTTAGCTGGCCATATGAATATACAGTAGCGTTTTTAAATTCTTCTAGTTGCTAACGACATTTTGTTTGTTGTTTATAGATACTTTGTTTCAATAAATTCATTTCGTTTTTTACCTTGAAAATGTCCACACTGGACGAAACGCGTCGGCTCAAACTACAGTTTTCCTACTGTCTTTTTTTTTTTTTATACATATTGTCTTTTACTACAGGTTAATTATGAGAAATTTTTACATACAGATAAGAATAAAAACAGATAGATAGATAGATAGATAGATAGATAGATAAGAATAAAGTGATAGATAGATAGATAGATAGATAGATAGATAGATAGATAGATAGATAGATAGATAGAAGCCATTGAGATAACCCTGTCCTACAAATTACTTACGAAGTCAACATTAACAATAGAATCCCATTCCACGAGGTATTAGTAGATGCCAAAAAGCTTAACTTGACCACTGTTCTGTTTTTGGTTTTGGTTTTGGTCTTGTTACGTTTTACGACATATCAAAACCTCAATGGGTTATTTTATGCCGACAAGATTTTTTTTATTACTGCTGGGAATTTTTTTTTTTTTTCAAAGGTGTATTTCTGGTCATTATTTTCTTCAAAATTCATTGCTGGTAATATTTTTTTACAAAAATGTATTGATGGTATTAAACCCATTTTTATATTTTCATAGTGCACCAGTTTTGGGGGGTGAACTATTTGCCCATAGCTGGGACCCTAACAGGTGCTACCACCCCGGGGCAGGGTGGACCAGGGAACATCAACAATTAAGAGGTGGTATCACGCTCTTCAAAACCTCCTGATCAGAGGCCTTGCTGTCGGGTGTAGTTTAGCGTCTTACTGAGGACGTGGATGTAGTTTAGCGTCTTACCCAGGACGTCTACTATTCTATACAAAAATAAAACTATCCGAAAATCGTGTTTGGTTAACTAATGAATGTCCTCACAGTTACAAAATAGACCGTGATAAAAAAAATACCCGATTCGGAGATGTAAGGAACTAAGCGGCATTAAGCAATGGCTAATCAACAATAACTTCCCTAACCACGTCGTAATCGGACGAGTAAAATTCGCCTTCACGAAATTTTTAAGCATTTCACCCCAAGCAAGGCGGAAGTGCTATGAGTACGCAGGGGTTACAGGGAGTGAAAGTGAGAGAAAAGACTGGGGTCTGATGAAAGGATAAAAGATGAACGGGGGACAAGGCAACAAGAGATGGCGATTGATGTTGCATTTAAATTTTTGAAGATTTTAGTTATTAGGGAAGGAAGTAAAAGAAAAGGAATTCCACTGTCGGGAAGTGCGAGGAAAGCAACTGTTGAGGTAGAAGTGGCGGATACATTTAAGTATTTCAACAGTAAAAGGGTGGGACCTATCTGCCAATCTAGTAGCACGCTTAAATTCATGTCGTCCAGACAGTAGGAAAAAAAAAGCTCGTCAGTGTAGTTGCCATGAAAATATATATAGAAAAGGCAGAAGGAAGCCACGTCACGTCCGTAATAGAAGACATGGCAATTCAGAGGTAACAAAGAAAAGGAATCTGGATAGAAGATAGTGGGAATTTACGTCGTTATCTTTCCCAAGGAAACATGGCAATTCACAGGTAATCTCGTAAAGAAATCTGGATAGAAGATAGCGGGAATCTACTCCATTATCTTTCCCAAGAAAACATGGCAATTCACGGGTAAACTCGTAAAGAAATCTGTGTATAAGACAGTGGGAATCTACTCCATTATTTTTCCCAAGAAAACATGGCAATTCACAGGTACTAAAGTAAAGGAATCTGTGTAGGAGACAATCGGAATCTACTCCATTATTTTTCCCAAGGAAACATGGAAATTCACAGGTAATCTCGTAAAGAAATCTGTGTATAAGATAGCGGGAATCTACTCCATTATCTTTCCCAAGAAAACATGGCAATTCACGGGTAATCTCGTAAAGAAATCTGTGTATAAGACAGCGGGAATCTACTCCATTATATTTCTCAAGAAAACATGGCAATTCACAGGTTCTAAAGTAAAGGAATCTGTGTAGGAGACAATCGGAATCTACTCCATTATCTTTCCCGGGAAAACATAGCAATTCAAAGATTATACAGAAAAGAAATCTGTGCAGAAGTCAACAGGAATGTACTTCCTATCAACACACGACAATTATTAGCGCACGGAAAGATTAAAACTTCTGTGGCTATTATTATACAAACTAAATATATTGAGAAATAGATAGATATTAACACACTGAGATAGATAGATAGATAGATAGATAGATAGATAGATAGATATGAACCAACTAATAGATAGATAGATAGATAGATAGATAGATAGATAGATATGAATAGACTTAGCGGGCTTGGAAGCTTGCTAAATAAATAAATATTTACCGTCTGATAGATGATCCCTGACAATGGCGCATGCATTGCGTCTATACAGAGGTTAAAAATGTTTGAAATGAGATAATTATATTATTCGAAATCAAATAACATCAGAATGCCTTTATTTGGAAACATTCGAAATGATGTAGCCATTTTTTTTTTTTTCACCAAACTATTTCCCGACCAAGAATCATCGTTTATTTCATAATCCGTTCGCGGAGAAGTAATCAGTCAATCAGAAAAGCCTCGTAATTTTTTTATTTTTTTTTTATTTTTTCCATTTATTTTTGAATGCATTTGCGCCTAAATTAACATCCTCCATCAACTATGCAACTTTCGTATCATTTCTGCGACAATCTAATTAACATCAAACACTGTGAACGTGTTTTATCTTAAATGACACACAGAAAATTAATCACAAAATGCAAGAGAGAAAGACTAGTGATACGAAGTCGAATCGTTCGAATTGGCTGACGGTATTTGCAGCAAGTAAATAAAGTCGTCAGGAGACGAGTGTTGGAAGAGTCAAGAGGGTCTCTCTCTCTCTCTCTCTCTCTCTCTCTGTCTGTCTGTTTTAAGCAGCAGAACAAAAAGGAAATCAAAACAACTTGCATGTAACTGCAGAGGATCCGTTTTCCAAATTTCTGATGGTTTTTTTAGAAAGGAAGAGAGATGATTGCAACATTAGTGAATTTATCAGCAGTCTCCCCCATCAAAAAAGGATTTAAGACCAATCAACGCATGCATTTCTCAATATATACGATACCCTACTCATATCTATCTATCTATCTATCTATCTATCTATCTATCTATCTATCTCAGTCCCTCATCTATATATCTATCTCAGTATCTTCTTATTTCTCTCTCTCTCTCTATATATATATATGTATATATATGAGTGTGTATATATATATATGTGTGTGTAAATATATATATATATATATATATATATATATATATATATATCAGTCTCTTCTTTATCTATCCATCTATCTAATTCTGTTCATTATCTATCTATATATCTATATATGTATATATGTATTTTCCGCTGTTGATAATCTATCTATCTATCTATCTATCTATCTATCTATCTATCTATCTATCTATCTATCTATCTATCTATCTATCGCAGTATCTTCCCATCTATATATTTGTCTCAGTCTCTATCTAATTCTGTTCATTATCTATCTATCTATCTATCTATCTATCTATCTATCTATCTATCTATCTATCTATCTATCTATCTATCTCTATATATATATAATTCTGACATCTATCTATCTATCTATCTATCTATCTATCTATCTATCTATCTATCTCAGTCCCTCCTCATCTTTATATCTATCTCAGTATCTTCTTATCTCTCTGTATATATATATATATATATATATATATATATATATATATCAGTCTTTACTTTATCTATCTATCTATCTATCTATCTATCTATCTATCTATCTATCTATCTATCTATCTAATTCTGTTCATTACCTATCTAAATATCTATATATGTATATACGTATTTTCCGCTGTTAATAATCTATCTATCTATCTATCTATCTATCTATCTATCTATCTATCTATCTATCTAAAATTGGATATAGAATCCTGACAAAGAGTGAAGAATATGACAAATCGAATATTGTTTCAGGGAAGGTAGAGAATGCCTTTTTCCTTTGCAAGTCTTCATCAGAGACAAAAGACAGAAAGAAAAATACATACAAATACGCACACGCACAGATATATTCCTTTCTTTTTGCTTAGACCTTCTCTGACACACACACACGCGCACACCAGCATTACACGCACATAGCATCGAATAGAGAAAAGTAATTCTCTAAAATATGTTGCAATTTTGTCATTTATGCTGTATTAAACATTCTACGCAGGAACCAAGGATAAAAGCTGTACCTCAAGCACTTTTTGTCCTACACACACACACACATGCAAATTTGACTCACGTCATCAAATAAAGAAAAAAATATTCTTAAAATATGTTGAAATTTGTCAGTTATGCGATATCGTTCATTATACGCTAAGATAAAAGCCCTCGATCACCTTTTGATATGTCCCGGAAAAGGATATATTTGTTCGAAGTAGCAAAGTGGTTGGTGACTACTGTAACCGGGTAGAACAATCTAGCAGGTAACCATAATGGACTGGTCTTCGTCGTCGTGGTAGCCAACAGGCGTAGTTCATGTACCTACACATCAGTCTGTATTTATGGCTGACACCAGCCAATCATATTACTGTGCGGGAGAACTAGGTGTATGCATATTCATTACATCACGTTTTTTGTCCTACACACACACACACACACACACACACACACACACACACACACACACACACACAGAGGCACAAACAAGCAAAACACACGTACAACGTCGAAGAGAGAAAACTAATATGTGCATATAATTTTCGATATATATATATATATATGTAGCATTATTTAAAAGCCGGATCCATGCTGACCCTTAGAGCCTTTGTTCTCGAACCATTAGAATCAAAGCGTCGCCATAAGGGTGAGAGTTCAAACAGGTGTAACCCGGGATGCGTATTGTCTTTTATTAGGTTTTCAGTCCTGCTGGGACAAATCCTTGCATTCTCATCTTTTTGGGGTTTTCTCTCTGATATTTTGTCGCATGAGACATTTTTACTGTTCCTTAACGTTTTATCATTTCACCCCAAGCTAGACAAGAAGGCCTCTAAGACGTAACGAGTTACACAGTGTTAAAAAATATGAGAAAAATATACTGTTAAAGAGAGAAGACAATGAAAGAACAAGAATTAAGAAGACAGAAGATAACGATTGGCATTGCATTTAAAATTATGAAGATCAAAATCGACCTGAAAGGTAGAAGCCGGAAGAGAGTTCCACAAGCGAGGAAAGAAACCTTTAGCCTAGAACATACGGTTACATCGAGCCATTTCAACTATAAAAGAATAAGACATTAAAGGTACCATAGAAGAGATTTGGTCAGAATAATTACCATGAAAGTATTCATAGAAAAGTCACAGGGAATCTACGTTACGGCGGTAGGAAAGTGACTGAAGCCGAGGTGCCAGGTCAGGACCAATAAAACTGCCGATTCTACTTTGGATTTATCAAGGATCTATAATATATATAGCAGGAGCATCAGACCAGATGTGGCAGCAATATTCAAAGCAAGGACGGCTGGTAGACTTATAAATATGGAACATAGATTCTGGCAAGAAAAAATTGTTCAAGTCGACGTACTGAACCAACTTTCCTAGATGCATACTTTGTTTCAATATAATTTTTCCGCTTGATGTCGGCAGCGAAAAACGTTAGCCCGAGCATGCGCAATGAGTTACACTTTCGGAGGTTTGCATCAACCATTCTGATGGAAGGTAAAAAATGCTACTTACAGACGATTAAACGAGAACAGTTTTAATTTTGGAGGCATTAAAATTAGCTAGCCAAACTGCAGTTCATTTTTGAGATAGCTAATGTTTAATCATTTTTTTTTTGTCTAAAAACCGTGCATTTTTTTTAAATTTTATATTAATACTAGATTAAAAGTCGCCCTATCGGGCGACATTTGATGACGCTTCAGTGTACAACGACTTTACAGGACAACATTGAAATGGCAAGACAATATGGAAGTCGTAGCGATTAAAGGAGAGCAGACGAATTTGTTATTTATGGTCGCTTGTTTGAGTCGCTCAAATTAAGAGGCGACAACTGTCATGCGATCTAGCATGTAGCGTTGGAAAATATGCAAGTCATATTTTTGAAAAGTTTTTTCCTCGATATGTTTCAAAGATGATCAGATAGCATCAGAAAAAAATAATTTAATAAGAAAAATTGCATGAGCGAGACGAAACGTGATTCACGCTCATCGCTAGTATATAGAGACAGTCACGTACATGCATATATATATATATATATATATATATATAAGTATATATATATATATATATATATATAAAAAAAATATACAGAAAAAAAAAACAAAAATCTTAATATGCAATTAAAATGTTAATATAAAAGTCAACGTCACATTTCGGTCTATTTTAGACCATCATCAGGACATATTCATAAAACATAATTAACATTAGAACATATAAAATTCAACATGAAAAAACGATGCACAACTAATCCAAACAGATAACTGAAATTTTTATATAAGATCAGGGTTCCGTTTAAATCTGATAACTTCGTCGTCACGTGGGCGATGTTGTGAAAACGTATTTATGAATATGTCCTGATGATGGTCTAAAATAGACCGAAACGTCCGACGTTGACTTTATATTAACATTCATACAGCATAATTGCATATTAAGATTTTGTTTGTTTTTTTTTTATATTTTTTTTCTTCATACTATCGGATCTATATCCATATATTTGCTTACATATATATATATATATATATATATATATATATATATATATATATATATATATATATATATATATATATATATTATTTATACTTTCTTTTTATAGATACCAATATTTAAGTAAATGTCCTGTTTATAATAAACAATATTAACAACATTTACCGGCCTGAATGTCCGAGAAAGTGTCATAGAATATATGTGTCCTCCGATCAGATAATATCGGATACTACAATATTTGTCTTGCAATAAACAATACCCTGATGATGATATTGTGCTTTGTCGAAAGTACTCAGAAGAAAAGAAATATGCATCAACACAGCGATTTTCTCTTATCTTTCATTAACACCAAAAAGATTATCCGTGAATATGAAAAGATCCAATTGAAAATAAGTAGACAGAAAATGTCTAAATTATTCAACGAAACATGCCTCAATATATATATATATATATATATATATATATATATATATTTTATTTATTTAAAAATATGGTTCTATCCCAAACATTAGTGTTCTCATGTTTCAAAACAAGAGCCGAAAACTTCAATATAATTATTTGAATTAAATTGAATTAAAGTACCAAGCTCTGTTCCATATCAAGCGAATTTTTTTTTTGTAGCGATGGATTCATATTTTTAAATAAATAATTATATTTATGCTCTACTTTTGTATCAAGCACTATTTTTTAAAAATAATAAGAAAAATACTAAAGAACTTTGGATTATTTACCTAACGAGTTCATTCCTATTTTCTATATATTTTCACACACACACACACACACACACACACACACACACACACACACATATATATATATAACTCAAAAGCTTGTAAACTATATATATATATATATATATAATTGAATATTTGGGCAGCAATCTTTATTTTATACAAGTGTCATTACATAGCACTTACATGATACTGCCTTTAAGCTTTTCATTCACTTTTCTTCTGTTCGTATAAGTTTTCTTACTTTCCTATCTATCTATCTATCTATATATATATATATATATATATATATATATATATATATATATATATCAGTGAAGACGGTGAGATAAAATGCAAAATGTATTAATGACGCGTTTTACAAGTGAGCTTATGTGCCCTTTGGCTTCCTCAGATTACAACGAAAGAAAGACATCTTCTTTTCAAAACGAAGAGCGCTTTCTTTAATTCCAACCTGACTAAGCTTAAGTTAAAGGGTGCAAAATATAATAATATATTTGGGTAGCAACCTGTCATTTATACAAGTTTCATTAAGTACGACTGACCAGGTACTGCTTCCTATTCATTTTTCTTGTGTTCGTATAAGTTTCTTTGTTTTCATAGATAGTAATATCTTGAGAATGTCTGATGACATGTGTTATAGTAATTTACCCACGCACGCATGGACTTTCCCAGCTATAAAAAGGAGCAGGTACTGTCTTTTGCGTAGTGTAGTTTCCAGGAGTCATCTCTGACAATCGGGCCGCCATTCTAGGAGTAACACTTTCATTTGTATATGTTTGTTATGGTAATTTACCTACACACGCATGGACGTTCTCAGCTATAAATAGGAGCAGGTATTTCCTTTTGCGTAGTGTAGTTTCCAGGAGTCATCTCTGATAATCGTGCCGACATTCTAGCAGTAACACTCTCGTTTGTACATGTTTGTTATGGTAATTTACCCACACACGCATGGACTTTCCCAGCTATAAAAAGGAGCAGGTACTGCCTTTTGCGTAGTGTAGTTTCCAGAAGTCAGCTATGAGAGTCTGACCGACATTCTTGCTGTAACACTCGTTTGTATGTTTGTATTACTGTTTTTGTCAGTATATTTTTTTAACACAATTCCTCTCTTGCGTCTTTATTTCTGACCCTAACACGGCCACAACAGGTTACCTGAGATCAATCGGAATACAATCGGAATTATATTCCCCGAAAGAAAATTTGAAAAAATTTTAATATTTACATTGGAATTTCTGCAGGGGAATGGAAACAGAGATTTTATACCCATAGGCACTCATTTTCTAACCCTAAACATCAGACAGCTCTTTCAACGGAATTTTGGGAATTTTATGTGCAAGGTTTCAGCGCACAGATAATTTGAAAGATTATAGGCTCCGCACGTATTTTTTATAGTCTTATACATAGGTGTCACTTATGTTTAGAGGAAAAAATTAAAATAATCAAAGCCAACTATTAAATCAGAGGAATCAATTAGTTTTAAAATGTCGACATAAAAACAAATTCATATTTCCAT